ACACTCCCCCCACCAATCTTTGCAGTGTAGTATGGGAGAGACACCAAACAGGGACATAGGCAATGGGATGACGGTGATGACAAGAGTGGTCCGAAGATTAGGAGAGCACCTGGAATCAATTTTGGACAGAACTGTAAGAGGCTTCCAGGTAGAAGTGACATTTAAGCTTACCCTTGTTGAAGGAGAGCTAGAGGATTTTCAGACTGAGAGAGAACCCCAAAACAGGAGGGCTGTTGTTCCTTGGGGAGACTAATGAGGTTCCTCATGGGAAAAGTTTAGGCTGCAGCAAGAAATGAGATGCGAGATCCAGAACAAGGCCAAGCAGGGTGGGTTTTCACCTAGGATAAAGAACTTTCTCCTACAATCAGTAGGAACCATTACATATCTTAATTGGGGGAGCAGCAAGATCCAATTTATATTTTACAGAATGGTCCTAGAGTGTGAGGATAATAGGATGAGATTGGAGAGAGGGAGATCAAGGAGTTAGTGTTACAATTTAGCAAGACATGAGGGTCACTTGGGGTGGTGATAATGAGCGTTTGAATTGCATGAATTTAAGAGAAGGTAAAGGTTGGGGCTAGAATCAAGGAAATGCTTTGATTTCCAGAATAACTCTCATGGTGGGGTGGGGGATACCAATTTTGGACCAGCATCCAGCAGAGAACTAAAGACTGCACACAGGTCATAGACATATGCTTGGTGGAGTAGCAGTGGTCTTGGTGGATTACAGTATTTTCAGATACAGTAGTATATATCAGTTAATTTTCAGTTCTCAGTTTACTTTCAATTCTTAGTTAAACTACAAGTTGATATACAACTAGTATTCTTCTTTCTTTCCCTTCCTTCCTTCCTTCCTTCCTTCCTTCCTTCCTTCCTTCCTTCTTTTTCCTCTCTCTCTTAATTGAATCACCATAAGATTGTTGCAAAGCTTTCATGATTAAGTTTTAGTCATACGATGATTGAAAACCTATTCCTCCACCAGTGCTCATTTTACACTGCCAATGTCTCCAGATTTTTTTCTCTTTCTTTGGTTTGAGTAGCATACCCAGGTGGTCAGGGGTGAGGAATAACTCTAGGGGATATTCCTGGCTCTGTGTCCAGGAGATATTCCTGGGTCACTGGTGCTCAGGGGTCATGCTGGCATTCCTGGAGGTGCTTGGGGAACCATACAGGTTATTGGGAATTGAATTGGAATCCGTCAAATGCAAAGCAAGTGCTTAACCCTTATACTATTTCTCAATCTTAACCTACTTCTTACCGCCTCTAGCTACCCTGAAAAAGATAGTCCTATCTCTGCATTTCTACTGGCCGCCAGAACATATTTGTCAATGTTCTTGACTAAGAATAATGCATCCTTTCCCACTATCTCCATCCACCACTGTCATTATTGCCAATAATGCTGATATAATATTTTTTGTTACTTTTCTTGGGGTTTTAGAGTCACAGAAACATAAAAATTTATACTCAATATTATTATTATAATTTCCACTACTAATGGAATTATTATTTTTGTTCATTTGTTTGAAGGCCATTAGCATAAGATTTACTTCTAACAATATCTGCTGTGATTTTTAATGCCCTTGAAACTTGCAGTGAGCGATCAGTCTATAATAAGAGAATTCTAGTAAGCAGTGTGAATGCCTTTCTTGGGAAAAAGAACTTTTTATTTTCATTGTGTTTAGGCTCAGGCTCTTTGATAAGGAGATTGGTAGGATATAAGGTATGAAAGGCTGAGAACACTGTGTGAGTTTGTAGATGTGTTCAAACAAGTTCCCCAGTCACTCTGATGACACTTTTATATTCTAAGTGAATACATATTCTTGTTCCTTTTTATGTTGTTTCTTACCTGACTTAAGAAAAATAGAAATAAGTATGTGCTTGCAGGAAGCAAAATTGAGAAACATGAGTTGTTTGGAAATGAAGGGACCCTGAAATCACTTTATTCAACTGAATTTCTCAAGGAGTTGAGAAGCTGAAGGCATTGCTAGTGGATCTCTGGAAACAGGGTTTATTTCTATTTGGCTAGAGGGGTTTCTCCCTAGGAACAGGGAAGGTGGATGTTGCAGGCTGACCTTATTGATGTCTAATCTGTGCTTACTGTTAGAGTCCCTTGCTGTAAAAGATGTTGTGTCACCACGTTCTTACCACTCTCATTAAAGGCCTACAAATTATATATCTGATTATGTACAAACTGTGGAGTCGACTTTGTTGGGTTCAAGCTCTGGTATTTTCCAATTGTGTTTCAGTTTCTTTATCTAAAAAACTGGGGTAATAACATTGTTATTGTCTCCTGAGCCTAGATATGAGATCTAAAAGTAAAAAGTAAAAGGCCAGAGAGATAATACAGAAGGTAGGGCACTTGCTTTGCATACCTCCAACCCGTGTTTGATCCCTGGCACCTCCTATGGTCTCCAAGCCCCACCAGAAATAGGCAGAGCCCATTGGTGCTTAAGTCCTAAGGACCAACTCTTTTTTTGGTGTGATCCCAAAACAAAAACACATAAAATAAAAATGTAGCACCTAGGGGGCCCTAAAAGTTGAGATTTGTTCAGTGGTTCTCTTATTTTTTAAATTTTTATTTATTTTTTTTGCTTTTTGGGTAACACCCGGCAATGCTCAGGAGTTACTCCTGACTCTGCACTCAGAAATTGCTACTGGTGGTGCACGGGGGACCATATGGGATGCTGGGAATCAAATCTGGGTTGGCCACATGTAAGGAACGTCCTACCCGTTGTGCTATTGCTCCAGCCCCCCAGTGGTTCTTTTAACTTTATGTCCAGTACCCAGTTAAACACTGGCCAACTGAAAGAAGTAGATTATGTGGTAAAAGTAAAAGGTAAAGGCTCTCCCGTTGATCGTCGATTTGCTTGAGCGGGCCCAGTAACGTCTCCATTGGAGACTTTGTTGTTACTGTGTCTGGCATATCGAATACTCTCGGTAGCTTTCTGGGCTCTCCGAGAGGGGCGGAGGAATCGAACTCGGGTCGGCCATGTTGGCCGCTTGTAAGGCGCCCTACCCGCTGTGGTGCGAAAGCTAATTCCAGGTGTGCTGGGTAGGATAAAATGCCAAGCAATAAATATTTTCCTAAGGGGCACATTTTGTGGTTGAATGCCTCATCCATCCATTTTCAACTTTTTTATTGTTGTGACACATGCAAATAATGTTTCACACAACATGGTTTGGGCTTCACACGATTTAAACAAACTTTTTTTTTCTTTCTTTTTTTTCCTCAGAAACCTCTCATGAAAACCAGTGAGTGACAGCAGCATTATTCTGGTGGAGGGGTATCTCAAGTGATACTCATGAGGCTCAGAAGTTTCACTGGTCATTTTTGGCCTGCAGGCCAGCAGTTCAATTTGAAGAACCCTATGAATGTGGTATTCCTCAGGCCCTGTCACCTTGGTGGTGTTTGCTGTACTGACAGACACTTGGGAACAATGTAGTACTCCAAAATTTGAACCTGGGCTGGGCATGTGCCAGGCATGTTTCCTGAATGCTGTACTTTCTATCTCCTTTCCCCAAAGAAAACAGCATTATTATGGAGACACCCTTGATGTTGATCTAGTTACTTGCTAACTTTCCTGTTTCTTACTTGTAACAAATGGTCTTCCAACAAAGAACTTGATAAGCCAGTATTTCCCAATTCTATGCCTAAGCACCAGGAATCTCGATCCTCAGGATTCCTCCCTCATGGCAGACCAGACAGACGAGGACCACATGGAGTCCACTGTGACTTTGTAAATTACATGGGTGTGCTGTAGCCTGCATAAGTGATGCTGGTTAACAGACCAGTCAGCCAGAATCATAGAAACACGTGGTTGGTTGGGTAAACTTGTGAGTAATAGCATGCAATCTTAAAACATCTGCTTGGCCATTCTTTTTCGCCACCAAGAGTGGAGAAAGGACATTCAGTCAAATTAATAAGAAAAAGAAGCTAATTTCTGGGAATTTTTCAACTCTAGTCTGAGAAGATTCTTTAGGGGATTATAGCAGGAGGCAGGGTGACCTCTGTTGCTTTCAATTCAGGGCTCATGAATTCTGAGCATCCAGATGTTAGACTTCAAGAACTGGCTCCAGGAACCTCTACCATGCTAGTCCTTTTGTGCTTTTCTGTCCTCTGGTCAAATGACACCCTGAACCCTCTCATTGCATGAGATACAGGAACAGGAGCTGGGAATAGCCTAACAATGGCCTGCTTTTGCTGGAAAATGCTGACATTCTAAGTATGGGGTGAAACTCCTTTCTGAGCACCTATAGGCAGTGAGATATAGCTGCCTGCTGGGTTCTCTCAGGCCATGGGGCTTTGTAGGTAAACTGGACCACCACTTTTCCACAGAGCAGCCTGAGAGAGGCAGGGAAGGAGCAGTGGTCTTCTTTCAAAATGTTTCACAAGCCTCTTTTCAGGGCTTTTGATGAGCACGTTGGACTCTTTTGGGACATTAGCTAAAACACTTGGCATAAATGACAGCTGTTTCTCCATTGTTTCTCTGTAGTGTAAGTGGGGACCCATGGACCCATGTGAGAAGATACAAGGTATATCAAAGATGTGTTGGTCTATATAGAATACAACTAAATGATCAACTGATTTGTTAAGAGTTTGACATATCTGTAAGAAACATCAGCCAATACATACACATTCATTTTGAAAAGTGATGATTTTTAGCTTTGATGACTTCAGTATCAATCTAACTCCCACCCCAACTGTAATGGAGTGATAGTCTACTGCATTACACTCAGGAGAGCAGAGACACTGACCTCTGTGACCAAAACACCAGCACAAGATGAAGAAAACACAAACAACCAGGAAAACCATAGATAATACAAAAGGCATTGGTACCTCTGTCCTCTACTTGACACAGACCCTCCCAAACTCAGCAAACAGATTAGAGGTCTTTTGGCACGATTTTCCTAACACATTAATTGAAGTTTGGGGGAAAGAAATCTCAGGGATGCTTTAAGTGAATTTCTGGTTTGGGCTTATTCTGTGTTGTTTTTCTTACCTGTTGTCGGATTTCTTCCTCCATTTTCACTGGTGAGCCCAATTCTGCAACTTGTTTGACACCTTCACTTGCATAACCTCCATACTCCCACAGTACGTAATTCTTGGAGTGGGATGCACCAATGATTGCAGACCAGTGATTAGCCCGACCTAGAAAAGCCAATGATAATATGTTTAGTATCAGTAAGATTGTAACTAAAACACAAATCCCTCTATTGCTAGAGAGGAAGTATCACGGGATAGGTATCTGACACACCAGTGCTAGCTGAGCACTTTGTACATTGTTAGCTCTATGCTACTCTGTGCTGGATAGCACAGTTCATTTAAGCAAGTAGATCTTTTTTTGTTTGTTTGTTTCTACCTTTTATTTAGATAGTCAACTCTCACTGTTATGAAGTGATATCTCATTAATATTTTGATTTGCATTTTCCTTATAGTTATGATGAAGAGTCTTTTAAATGCCTGTTAATCAACTCCTGATTGTCTCCACTCTTCTTCACATTTTTATATGGAACTGCTATTTTGTACTTGTTAAATTTTTTGTTTTTAAAATTGAAAAAAAAATTTTATTAATGAAATACCCGATTGCCACTCAATGTCTCTTTTGCAAACCACAGCACTCAAAAGGAGAGAGATAACAAAAGGGAATGCCTTGCCACAGAGGTAGGGTGGGATGCGGAGCTGGGGGGTGGGAGGGATACTGGGATCAGTGGTGGTGGAGAATGGGCACTGGTGGAGGGATGGGTATTCGATCATTGTATAACTGAAACACAAGCACAAAAATTTCTAAGTCTACAACTGTACCTCATGGTGTTTCACTAATAAGCAAGTAGATCTTTAGGATATCCAGACAAGGTAGAGCAGATGCCTGAGCAAGATAGAGAGGCATCTAAGAACTTTTGTCTGGGAGAGTTTCAGAGAAGGGAACAGCTAAGAGAACTTTAAAAGGTGATCAGCCTTGTTTGGGAGAAGAGAAAGAGAGAGGACTATTTCTGGAGACTCAGAAACATTAAATAACAATGTGTGTTTGGGGAATGGTAAGTCACTTAGCATTTCTGCAACACAAGCTGTCAAGGGGAGAGCTATAGAAGACTGATGGGGCGGTGGCAGGGAGCCGGCTCGTGGATGGCCTTGCTCTACATGTTTCAGGAGTCTGATGTCATTTGAAAGAGTCTGAAACTACTGAAGGGTGCTGGGGGGGGTGACATGACAGTATTTAAATTTTAGACACATCATCCAGGCAGAAGTATGAAGAATGCTTTGGAGGGAGCAAAATGGCATGTAGAGCTGGGGGAAATATAGGTTAGGGGAGTGATTGGGGAACAGGGGACAGATTCTAAGGGTAAATGCTGTGGGCTTGGATGTACCGTCCAGGAGGAGAGGAAGGCAGAGGAGCCATGTGAAAGTATGAGAGAGGCAATGTGGATGCACAAAAACAATATATCCACAATGGGTGGCAGGGACCATGTGGGGTGTAGGGAGGTACTGATAAATGATATAAGTGGGGAATGGAATAAGATCTGAGTAAGGCCAAGATAGAATGGAACCTGAAGTGTTTGTTCAGCATCCTCAGGGGGAAGAAACGAAAGAACAAGTAGTCAAAATCAACATTTACATGGGATTTGCCTGTGACGAAACCATATGTGTCTCTATTTTTTACCAAGCAACATACAGTAGTTCTTCATAGGGTTGGCTCCATCTTTAGGCATTCTATAGTTGATTTTGTTAAATTTTAAATTGCAGAATATTTTCAGGCATAGTGAAGAAAATTTGGAACACTTGGAGCTAATAGGAATTGACTGTTAACTGCTACCTGGTAACCCAGGTGGACAGTCCCACCATTGTACAACCCCCATTCCCCCACTTTAAAAATGGCTCTGAAGAGGGCTCAATCCTCTCTACATCAACCAACTTCTTCTCCAGGAGAACATCAAAGTCTTCAGGATCACAGGTACATAATCACCCTCCTGGTCCACTTATGGCAGCCATGTCCATCCCAGGCAGAAGCTATCACCAGGGGCTTTACCCAGTGGCTGGCTCATTGCTTCCTCACATCAGGAAAATGCAAACTCTGTGCTTCATCACCTTGAAGACAGAAGGTTATACTGTGAACTATTTCTCTCACTCACTTCCAGAATAGAAGGAAAACTGTATCTAAACTGAGAATTATGTTGTACAGGGACAAGACCTGGAAAACACTTTTGACTCTTAGCTAATGATGGGAGACTAGCTTCCATGTCTCTGCTCCCCTGACTGTGTCCTACTGGAATATCCCCCATCTCGGACCCATCTTATCTGCAATACTGCCTCTTACTTAAGACTTGTTGTTCTTTTTGTGCCTGACCAACTCTCATTCTTTCTTTTTAATTTATTCATTTATATGCCTCCTAAGATCATCCCAGACCCATCTAGTATCTCCCCTCTTTTCTTATAGTGCAGGTTACATTTATCATCATTGTTAGTAAGTTTTCCCACTATACTGTAAGCTACCTGAAGGGAACTGAGTATGGGGTATTCTTAATGCCTACTATTGTGTTTGATACATTATGAGTGCTTAGAATATGTTTGCTGAAGCCCTTCATCCAAACAATCAAATGGAAATGTGGTAGGATACTCTCTAGTATCATTTGGGAGCAGAATTTCACAGGTTTTATCAATGTGATTAAATTCAAGTGTCAGTTCAGCAGAGTTTCTGACACCTACTGAGCTAATGCACTCAGCTCTCCTGCATGCTGTTTAAAAAATAAACTTCAAATCACAACAACAAAAGAAAGGCACTGGTCTGAGAGTTAACAGTCATGGACTCAAATCCTAGCATTACCTCTTGGTAGCTGAATAAACTTCATCAATTTCCAATTACTTCATGTCCCTGAGTCTCCAATCCCTCTTTTGTAGTTCAAAGATGAAAATGCCTATTTTATCAACCTCATTCCAAGATATAAATTTAATTATAAATGCAATAATATATATGGAATCTCTACTAGTACACAATAGACACTCAATAATAATTTCCTTCTTTCCTGAGTGGTAGGGAGCCTTCACAAATGAATAAAACATAAAAATTGCCTCTAATTCAGTCTAGATGCTGAATTCAGAAATAGGTAAAGTATAGAAAGAGGAAAGGTGATGGAAGCAAGACCAATCATAGGAGGTCTAGGGGATGGTTATTTCCAGTTTATTCATTCAACTCCTATTAACTAAGTGTCAAGCACAGTGGATGGCCCTAAATACGAACAGGAATTGGATATAGTGCTTGTCCTAGAGGAATTTGCAGTTTGGGGGTGGGAAATCACATGGATAAGTAGATTACTTACAATCTAGCATGATCAGGGTTATTATGGAAATAAGAACAGAGAATGAAGGGATAAACTAGCTAACTGCAAATCCTCTAAATTTAAGGAATTAAAGTCCAAAGGAACAAGTGCAGAGAAGTAGCTGCCTCAAGAGCTCTCCTGTGGTCTTTTACTCTCGAATTAAATGTCACCATACCAATTCAACTTCCTAGTCAATACAGTTTTCTATAATGATTTAGCCACATTCCACAGCCATTCATATACTAATGCATTTAATAACATCAACTGCATAACAGATATCTGTAGAACATTAAACTGCAGAAGGGACCAGATATAGCCTCCAAGGGGAGAACAAAGCATGACCCATGAGGGGGAAAAAATGATTTACTATATTGGAAAGGGCAATGGTGTTAGGTAAGCTCAGTAATGGACTGTACAGAGAGACATTGTGATCAAGAGCCAGAAGAACTGGGCTCTTGGCCTTTGTTAGTGATCGTGAATCAATCATTCAATCTCTCTGGGTTTAAGTGTTTAAAAATAGAGATGGCAGTTACTAGGCTGCTCTATTTCAGAGTTGTGCTAATTTAATTGGACTGGCTTTGGAAAGAAGTACGAAAGCTTTGTGAAATTTTACAAAACAAAACTCTCAGCATAGTGAACAGAAAGCTATGAGAATTCACAGAGGAATCCAAAGGAGGTGGAGGATCCAGGAAATGTTCCTGTTGAAAGGACAGGTAGGGCAGTGAGAGCAGGAATATGAACAAAGCATACAAGAGATAATGGTGACTGGGTATTAGGCATATTCTGAGTGTAAGCCCCTCTGCAACTTCACTCTTATATTACAGATATTTTAGACAGCTTCACTCTTACGTTATCTATATCTGAGGCCCAGAAATGTTAAGGATCATAATACCCAAGCACACAGAACTAGAGAGGGGCAACACTGGAATTCAAGACTATTTTTGAGTCCCTATGTTTCCCCCCTATGTCTCGCTGAGCTAAAAAAACAGAGGAGACTATATTTTTTTATTGAACAGGTGGAAGATAAAAAGGAGGATAGAGGAGAAAGTCAGGATCAAGTTATGGAGGTTGCTGAAAGCCCATCACTATATTGAACACCAGGAACTGAGGGAATTGTGGGTGTTTATATCTGGAAAGAATAAAATGACAGTAGCTAGTATACCCTGCACTATTACAGGACTTCATCTACTTCACCATCATTCACTGTCACTGTCACTGTCACTGTCACCCCGTTGTTCATCTATTTGCTCGAGCGGGCCCAGTAACGTCTCCATTGTGACAATTGTTACTGGGTTTGGCATATTGAGTACGTCATGGGTAGCTTGCCAGGCTTTACCGTGCGGGTGAGATACTCTCGGTAGCTTGCCAGGCTATTCGAGAGGGGCAGAGGAATCAAACTTGGGTCGGCCATGTTGGCTGCTTGCAAGGCAAACGCCCTACCCGCTGTGCTATCACTCCAGCCCTTCACCATCATTAAACATTCCAAAGGGGAAACTTTTGATACAGAAAGGATAGTAATTTTTATTTTTCACATGAACAAATTTAGAGAGGCTAAATGAGCTTACCCAAGATTATGGGTGCATATAAATGAAGACTCTGGAGTTCAAAGATGAATCAAACTGGCACAGAGGCCCAAATATTATTCATTTAAATACATCATGTTCAAGACCCACTTCTAAGGATAGAAGACTCAGAATAAAACAAATAGACCCACTAATAGACCTTGAATGAGTTGTGTAGGGGCTGACTTAGGATATGACATGAGATCAGAGGTATTAGCCAGTAATAGGGAAGATTTGATTTGCTCCTGGAAAGTGGCTTGGTGAAGTAGTTAAA